GAATAGAATGATCTTAAATTAAAGTATGCTTGTGGAGCAGTAATCTATTCATCACAGCAGTGAAACTGGGATTTTTTTCCCAATGGTGCCTACAGTTTTAAGTGTTTGCTCTCTGGGATCGTTCCAGGGAAGGTAAACCTCACTTCCCGATTTCAGAGCGTAGCCTTGGGGTAAGTGTGATTGGTCACTTGGGGACGCTTTTTGTGTGGATGAGTTATTTAACAACAGAAATTGCCTGGGTTTTAAAGCCTTTTGAATGTCAGTATTTTCTGTTGCTAGAGCTAGTTCTTTGTTATCCATTGTACCATAGTCTCTAATCCTAATACTCCTGATTATCCCTACTTACTGTGCTTTGGTTCACACCATGAAGCAGTCTTGGAGCTCATGACCTGGGTTCCTTTCAGATGGAACTAAACTGGAAGATGTGTTCCAACTGCAAATGAGCATTCAGCCCATGGGACCAGACTAGAGCTAGTCCAGAGCGTGTTTCAAGAAAAAATGAACCCTGAGATACCCATGTTGACATCAGGTCCTCTGCACTGTTTCTCTCTACAGAAGTTTCAGTCAGTCTAGACATAGCCTCCAATGGCAACTTGCGTTTGAGACTACCTTATTTTTGTTGAAGACACTCAATTCTGTTTTAATGACTTAGACACCTGTGTAACTGTGAAGAAAAGTAGTGCATGTGTGGGAAATTGTTCACGCTGCAGAAGCAGCATAAGCCTTCAATGTGATTTTCTTCCTTCATCATGCTCTCGGTGGAAAATGCAAGCAGTAATGCTATAAGTTAAGGAATAATGGTCCTTGTTCCTTGCTTTCCATTTACTAGAGGAGGGATCCTGTGAACTCATTCAGCTCTTTACATGATAACCAAAGGTGGCACCTGCTGGGGGGACAGCAGGGTCCTGGCAAGCTCTTCTGTCCTTCTTGGGGACTTGGGGCGCTCTCTGCATTGTGCATATTTGGCTTTGCCTGAGGGAGAGGCTAACTAGTGTAGTGGGTTTCAATTGGGATGTTACCATAGCATCCTGGGACTTTTACAATCTATTTAGAAGTCCAAAGGTTTGAAAAGAGTGCTTGAAAGTTTCTGAACTCTGGCAAGTTGCCGAAATGTAATTACACAAAAGACAAAGCCTTACTGAAAGCAGCTCTGTTCAGAGAAGCAGCACCTGAGTGCTAGAGTTCCCAGCATAGCCATTTCTGAGAGTTGGGGCTGTTTTATCGCAGTCTCCTCCCAGAACTTTTTTTTCTTCCTCTCAGGTGCACGTGCCATCCCACAAGCATAGACTGGGGGTGCTGCAAGATGCAGCTTTCTCAGCAGTGGTGTTGGAAGAGACTCTGTTCTGTGGTTTAGCTGCTCTGGGGCATGTAAAGAAAAAGAGTGAAAAAGTAAGCATCTTGAAGTCCCTACTGCAAAAGTTTCTTTAGATATTCCCATCGAGCAAGAACCTTGCTTTATTTTTCTCATCTTTCTTCAGAATATTCTCACAAGTGAATGGGAGAAGCTGTTTTGTTAACAGAGTATCCAGTTGTGTAACAATTCTTGCATGAAATATGAGCATTTGCAGTGAACTGGTGTTAACTAATGAACATTCACTTCAATTTCTAGTCTCAGTTTCAGCAAGACAAATAAAATCATGTCATTAGTAACTTCTGTTAATGTTCTAATTTGCCTGCTCTACTTACTGGTAATGTAGAGGGCCTGGGCAACCATTAGGTTTGCAATAGGAGGCTTGGACACTTGCAGAGTTGTTGAAAGCTTTCTTCTTGAAGGAATCTCTTGCAGATGGCTGCACTAAATGCCTAAAGAGGGAAAGAAGTTAACCAGAAGGGTGAAGAATCATTTTCCCTGCTTCTGGGTTCACAACCCCATTTCTAAATGATTGAGGACAAAGTAATACCTTGCTGAGATAGTTTGTTCACAAGTCTTTCTCCTGCAAATGTGCTGATAAGCTCTGGCCACCTAACTTTGCTAAGGGTATGAGTTGCTCAGTGAGAGGAAGGCAGATAAAGGGAAGACTGAGCAATGCTGAGGGAAGAATCTCAGCAGCTGGTGAACTTGCTGAGAATGTTTGAGCTAAGTTTGTTGCTTTGCTGTTGATATCTTGCTTACTTAAGCCATTCCTCTGAGTCTGCAGCCTGTTCCATTTTTGTGTTCAAAAGAAACTGGAAAAGACATCTGTTCGCATGTACATAAAAATCATAGGTGAGGCGTTGGTCATACCCCCTGCGTGCTGTTGGAATACCTGCAACAGCTTTGGGTTGTCACCACTTCTTTTTCTTCCAGAAGGGTTTACCTGCAAGCTGTTACTACTTGCCACTTTAACAGTAACTTCACCTCTGAGCAATTGTTAAGGAAAAGGTGGCCAAGTTATTTTCGTACTGCCCATCTACCCATGATAAAGGAATTTCAAAATACATAGTTTGTTCAAAATGTATAGTGTTCCTGTCTCTTGTAGTGACCTTAACCCTGCCTGAGAATAGATCTGTTGATTTGTCATGGGGCTGCTTGCTGGATAGCTCCATCATGGGCTGGCTCCTTTGAGCTGAACTTTTACAACTTACAAAAAGGAATTTATAAAGTAGGGTCTCTGAAATGCAGCATATTAACTGGGATAAAACTCCCAGGCTTGCAGACTTGAGCTTTTGGGGAAAAATCCTTCCATTGTATAGTTAAAATGTGATTGCAAGAAATGAGGAATGAAAGAAACATCGTACCTCTTTTACTCAACTAGCTGGCGGCACTTGGCTGTCAGCACATCCAGGTTTGCTGATGTTCCAACATATCCACCCACTCTTTTAACTGAGTAAGCAACAACAAATGATATCATACCCTTCTGCCTGCTAGGTTTAGAGAGCCATCCCATACTGAAAATGCAAGTGACTCAAGTTTTCACTTATTAGAACTAAGGAGTAATATGGTAGGGCTGTCTGCTGTGAATTAATAGTATGTTAGCTTCATATCTGGACCTTTCTATGATAGTTGTGCCAGGATCTGCTTGCAGATGTTGCATGTGCTGTAGTTGTTCCGAGCAACATAATTCGGTGCATTTAATTGTATCATTGTGCCTTCATCTTCTTTCCCTTCCTAAATGTCTCCCTTACTTGTGTCTTTGTTCTGAAAGCTGCCTTCTCATATTACACCAGGTTTCTTCTTTTTCATTCATATCCTGCTTTTCTCCATCAGCCTGTCAAATAATTAGCAAAACAATGCAAATCAGAAACGAAAAAAGTTTTACAGGCTGTGGTTTAGGATGAGAAGATCTGAAATCCCATTTCCAGCTTTGTCACAGGCATCTTGTGGGACTTTATGCAAGTTACTTTTCCTTACTCTGAACTGGTTCACTCTAAGGCAGTGAGCTACAGCACTTTGTAATGAATACTCTTTACTTACAATGATAGTCATGGGAGCCCTTTCCTGTAATTCTGGCATATTTTGATCAGGCACATGATTTATTTATTTACTTTAATCTCTTGGGACAATGGCTGTGCTTTCCTCTGGTTTGTATAGCACTAGTGCATGAACAAGGGTTCATAAATACGAAATAATATATTTGTCCATGATATTTACAGAAAGAGTATTCCTAAGTCCAGGATTCAAGAGTCATGAGTGTTTCTTAATCATAAGGTGATTGTACGTATTTTATTTGAGTTGCATTTCCTTCTGGGTAGGAGGGCTAGAAACAGTGCTCTGCACATAGCTTTCAACAGCTGACAAAAAATTCAATTTACTCACATGTCCTTGAGAACCAGGACACTAAAAAAAAGAAATTGTGATTCTTTTCTGAAAAATTGAATTGGCTTCTCTCCACGCACCCCCCATGTTACATGACTTTTTAATTTTGCTCAACTCTGTCTGGTATAATTCTCTTTCAAATGTGAGACCCTTTTCTATACTATGAAGGATAAAGTGATTTAAACTATTTATGTTTAAAGAGATGTTTTAAAATTGCAGACTGAGAGGGTTCACACTGACCACTGGATTTTGTCTGTTGTGGAGATGCTACCTATGGAGAGGTTCTGCTGTGATGAAAGTAAACTTGTATCTTTTCATTAAGTCTCTCCTATGTGGGAGAGTTAAGCTGCTGTCCCAAGTGAATGTTTTTAATGATCTCTCTGGAGTGTTTGAAAGCTTTGTCCCACTTGCACGATGCAGAGTGAAATGCATAAAATCTATCTTTGAGGCAACCCTGTCATTATACTTTTTGGTATAGAATGTTTGTATTTTGCATTTCTATTGTTCTTGCATGTTGAGCTTTACCATGCGAAAAGGAGAGCTTCTTGTGCTTCAGAGAAACCTTTTTAAGACAAATGTTTACTATAGTAAGTTAGCCTAAAGTGCTTAAAACTCAAAAATGAGAAATTTGTGCTAATATACAAGAATGTGAATATCAAATTGACTATTGATCATAATGAGCAGCTACTCTTTTCAAAATGCACTAGTGCAAAGTGATGTTTAGTGAAGCATCAATCTGCTTTTCATGACAGCTGAAGTAGATTTTATACATCCAATACAGTCAAGTTTCAGTAAGCTAGAAATGAAATCTTGAGGCTTCTGTTAAAGAGGTTTTTTTGGTGTTTTTTGGGGGTGGGGTTTTTTTTGTGTGTGTGTGGCTTCGTGGAAAACTGTGATAAGAATAGCAGTGAAATTCAAATGGTACTAAAGGAAAGGGCATCTTCTGGTCAGATAAACAACAATTACTCTTGGCCAGCCATTTTCCAATGGATTGGTTTCAAATAAGTGGCTCTTGGACACCCCTTGCTGGGATTCTTTAGAATGAATTTTACTTTCACAAACCTCTAATTCCTATAATTAAGTTCCAATGTGTGGTTTTTGCAAATAGCCTTCTCTCTAGAGAACAGATGGGTATAAACTTTGGAGATTTGGTTTCACAAAATGTAACTGGCAGTGGTTTTCTTGCTATTGTTCCAGCTGGCCCCAGAACACTCACACTGGTTCAGCTTTCTAACGTTCTCTTGTTTTGGCTTTATCTCCACAGTTTTAACAGCGTGCGTCAAGGAACACACGTCTTGTTCCGTGAGTTCAGCTTTGTTCAAGCTACCCCTCACAATAGGGCATCTTTTCTTCGGACCTTCTGGAGGTGTTTCCGAACAGTTGGGAAAAATGGAGGCAAGTATTCCAGCATCTGCTGGTGCTCTGCTACCTTGACATTAAAATCATTAGCTAGGCTATTAATGCAGTACAAATACCGACACTTTGCACTATGTTGTAATGTTCTAACATTGTTAATAGGGAGACACCGTCACAGCTGCCTGTGGAATAGTTAAAAAATACTTGCAGCATGAAGTGTAGCATAGGAGCACCTTGTTGCCAGTGCTGCTTCCATTACAGAACAGCATGTCAAGCAACAATAGATCAGAGGGAGGACATTTGTAGGCCTGTGCATGGGAATGGATAGGGGGGAAAAAAAAAGTGCTGGGGTGTGATGGATGGGAGCTGGGAGCAGGGTAGTGGACCCCGAGATGGTTAGAATATAGGATATGGAGCATGAGGGAGGTAGGTGCTGAGATTATTAGGCAGTTGGGGTACTGAGTGCTTTGACTAGGAGCCCAGCAGGAGGTAGAGTATATAGTGTTGTTGGGCTGTAGGGTGGCGAATGCTGCTGCCTGAGCTAGTCCTGGCACATCTCCTAGATGATTTTGCAGGATCCTGATGGCTGTGGAAGGGGGACCACTGACAACTGTGTGACCTCTTCCCCAACCTACCCACAAGGAAAAAGTTCCAATGCCAAAATAACTATTCAGCACTGTACTATCTTGTCTAGCTATTCTTGTACTGCACTCGGTATATTAGGTATTACAGAATTGGCCAGAGTTCAAAATAAACTCATGTAACTACATGCAACTAAAATTACATTTTGTTTTAGTTTTTGATTCAGTATTTTAAGCAAATACACTGAATATTGCTGTACAAATATGAATTTTGGTGGGTTTTTTTACTATGAGCCTCACTTGTTTCAGGCTATTCAGAATGCTTCCCTTGTTGCAGGGAAGACTAGAACCATCTCTTAAATATAGGTAAAACCTCACCTTCTCGCTAAGCTCTGCAAGACTTCTGCTCATGATGAATAGAGTTTGCAAGACTGTGAATAACAACTTGCATTTCTTGACATAAGCCATTTAGTTCCTTGGAAGTCAGACAATTGTATTTAAACATGACAAAATTTGCTATTGAAGTGACTGACTATGCTGTCTGTAACACCTTCTTCCCAGTGATAGGTACTTTGTTACGTTCTAAATCACTTAAATTAGTTCAGGGATAATATTTTTAAGACTTCAGATAAATTGTATGGTACTAATCTAACCAGTATGCAGTGAGGCCATATCTGATTTGAGGTCAGGTCATAGCCAGGAAAGATAAAGTGTAGACTCCTAGAACATATTTCTGTAGGGGAGTTAGAGATGATAGTGAAGAAGTCATCCACCAGAACTGCAGCTGTCAGTGGTAAACCTTGTTGACAGATTGAGAAGAAGCTATCTGATGAAAAGTAGCCACTGCTGTACTTAAAATGTAGGTTTTCGTCAGGCTTCATCTATCTAGCATCTGGCCTCAGCCAGATGATGGACATCTGGATTTTTTGGGAAGAAGGAAAAAGTTTTAGCTACGTAATATCTGCCTTCTCTTTTACCTTTAGCGGTTTTATGTGAATATGGAAAAGGTTGTGGAAGAAAATATAATCACCACGGTACTTTAAAGGAGGAGGAGGAGCATAGGAACAAAAGCTCAGGTGGATGTTACTATGCTGTGGTTGTGGCCTATAAAGAGTTCATAAAGTCTGAGCAAATATGGCATGTTTACCTGTGTATTTATATACTAACATACATTTTCTTTTTATATTAACTAGAAGCAGAAATGCATCACTTTAGAGAACTTGCTGTCAATATTTTAATCCCCTCAGTCCAATTTCTCTGATTCTCTAGCAGTAATTACAGTCTAGAACCTTGATTTTATTCATTTCGGTTTTATTTGCTATGGGATTTTTCTGCTATACTTGTGCATAGGGGAACTCAGAACATTCATGGTCTCTTAAGACCTAAGCTCATTTACTAAGAAGCTGCACCTGTGCAACATTGTGGGTGAAATATGGTCATTACCACACTCAGGCATAGATTAGACCTGGATTTTTTTCCTTGAAAAACATTGCTTTTAGATGAATGTGGGAAGGAATGCTGTTATACAACAAATGGCAGCAACCAGAAGCGAGATCATTGCTGATCTGAACTACAGAATTAGTCTCTTAACAATAGAAAAATTCACACTAAATGATGCCCAAAGCAAGTAAGACTTTCAACTTAGAGCTTTCTTTAGAAGTGTGGCTGGTGGTACATCTTCTAATTGGATTATGCCAGAAATTAGTTTTAAGTTGTTTCTTTATGATCACTACACTAGAACACAAGAACATATATGTACATATCAAATTAAAAACAGTTATACAAGCTTGCATGGAATCATGACTCTACAGATAGTTTGTTGCTACAGCATGTCATTTTATGATGATACAATTTTGACAATTTAAACATCATATTATGTGCAGCAGTGTATTCGGTTTGCATGGCAAGGTTTTGTAGTGTGGGGGGGGTGGGGGTGGGTTACAGCAGTGGCTTCTGTGAGACCCTGCTAGAAGCTTCCCCTGTGTCCGACAAGGCAGTGCCAGCTGCCTTCAAGATGGACCTGCTGCTGGCCAAGGCCAAGCCCATCAGCAATGATGGTAGCACCTCTGGGATAATGTATTTAAGATGGGGGGAAAAAACAACTATGCAACAGCATTCGGAAGAGAGGAGTAAGAATATGTGAGAGAAAGAACTCTGCAGGCCCCCAGGTCAGTGCAGAAGGAGGGGAGGAGGTGCTCCAGGTGCTAGAGCAGAGATTCCCCTGCAGCCTGTGGGGAAGACCATGGTGAGGCAGGTTGTCCCCCTGCAGCCCAGGGAGGTCCACGGTGGAGCAGATACCCACCTGCAGCCCAGGGAGGACCCCACGCCGGAGCAGGTGGGTGCCCAAAGGAGGCTGTGACCCCATGGGAAGCCTGCGCTGGAGCAGGCTCCTGGCAGGACTTGTGACCCCATGGGGGACCCACGCTGGAGTGGCCCATTCCTGAAGGACTGCAACCCCATGAAGGGACCCACGCTAGAGCAGTTCATGAAGAACTGCGGCCTGTGGGAAGGACCCATGTTGGAGAAGTTCATGGAGAACTCTCTCCTGTGGAGTGTCCCCACGCTGGAGCAGGGGAAGAGAGTGAGGGTGAAGGAGTGGTAGAGACAATGTGTGATAAACTGACCCGAACCCCCATTCCCCATCCACCTGTGCTGCTGTGGGGGAGGAGGCAGAGAAATCAGGAGTGAGGTTGAGCCTGGGAAGAAGGGAGGGGTGGGGGGAAGATGTTTAAGATTTAGTTTTTTCTCATTATTGTGCTCTGATTTGATTGGCAATAAATTAAATTTAATTTCCCTGAGTTGAGTCTGTTTTGCCTGTGAGGTTAATTGCTGAGTGATCTCCCCCTGTCCTTATCTCAACCCATGAGCGTTTTGTTGTATTTTCTTTCCTTCTGTCAGTTGAGGATGTGGATTGATAGAGCAGCTTGGTGGGTACCTGATATCCAGCCAGGATCAACCCACCACAAGGAGGTAGGTAAGTTATAGAGTCCTGGTACGAAATTCTGTTTATCCTGTCCTGGTTTCAGCTGGGATAGAGTTAATTTTCTTCCTAGTAGCTGCTATAGTGTTATGGATTGGATTTAGTATGAGAATAATATTGATAGCAACAACTAAAAACATTGGTGTGTTAAGTAGTGTTTATACTAAGTCAAGGATTTTTCAGCTTCTCATGCCCAGCCAGCAAGAAGGCTGGAGGGGCACAAGAAGTTGGGAGGGAACACAGCCAGGACAGCTGACCCAAACTATGGATATTCCATACCATATGATGTCATGCCCAGTATATAAACTGGGGGAACTTGGCCGGGAGAGGTGGATTGCTGCTTGGGACCTAACTGGGCATCGGTCGGCGAGTGGTGAGGAATTGCATTGTGCATCACTTGTTTTGTATATTCTAATTATTTTATTATTATTATTGTTGTCCTATTTTTTTTCTTCCTTTCTGTCCTATTAAACTGTCTTTATCTGAACCCACGAGTTTCACTTTTTTTTATTCTCTTCCCCCATCCCACTGTGTGGGCGGAATAGCGAGTGGCTGCGTGGTACTTAGTTGCCAGCTGGGGTTAAACCACGACAGTGGTTATCTTATACTATGCAACAGGGCAGGGGACAAAGAACCTGCTGGTTCTGAAATTGGAAGCAGTATGGCTCAGATTAATGTTGGTATGTTGCTTTTGAGACCTGAACTAGTCTTTCTACATTTGGTGTCCTGTGTCAGGTGTATGGGGAGTTATTCATCGAATGTCCACTTTATTTCAATAGAATTTCTGTGTGCAGAAAAGGATGAAAAAATGTCCTTTGCCTTCTACAGCAAGATTCTGCTCTGTCCCAGTTTCTCTCCTGGGTTTGTTTCTGGACAGGGATTGCTCTGTGCTTCAGTATTGTCATTGATTTATGTCTGTGAAGAACTATGAAGGCTTCTTTTGTCTAACTGTCAAAAGTATTACATTCGCCTACTTCCATGTCTCCCAGGATGTTCTCATTTTTATTTATTCCTTTGCCATAAAAGTGTTTACTGCCGTTTTCTGCCTCTTATTTACTTTAAGTTTCATTCCATTTGAATTTCTGTTTTAGGAGTGAGTGGTGGCTTTTTCTTATTTTTGTCCATCTGTGGAGGGTATCCCTGGTAAACTGCATATATGCCACCTCTGTGAGGATATAGGTCAACATAATAAATGAGAACTTGCATCAAAGCTTGCACCCTGGCTGGAGGGCAGCAAAGGAGAATAAAATTAAAGATGTAAGACAGTGCAATTTCTAAGCTTATACAAACTCAAAAACCCAAACAAAAAAACCCCCACCATTCCACTTCTGAGTGTTTAATTGGGATTTTAGAAAAGTAGACAATATCTCACAAATGAGTGAACTGATTGCTTAATCTGGCTGCTAGTTGCTCCTCCTTGATGCAGGGAAATTTACTGCTTTGTCTGTCAATTGTGAAATAACCATGCCTTGACTTGG